GCTGGGGGACAGGACCGACCGTCCCTACCCCTGGTGCTGCAAGTGCAGAGACTACGGTCCCATCTGCATAGTTGTGGGGCTGAACATCTCCCCTTGGTGGGTTAGGCTGCCGCTGGAGAGAGGGTGTAACAAGCTACTCTCTCTGAACTGTAGACTGCCGCTGGGGAGCTCCTCTCCCTGACACTCTCTTTGCTGTTGGAGAGGGGGACCAACTGTCTCCCCTTTCAATATTTTGTCCTGCGGTTGGGGTGCGAGACAGACGGTCTCTGCTTCCTGGGGTACACACTGCCGCTGGGGAGGAAGGACGACACCTTCAGCTCCCTGGGGTACACACTGCCACTGGGGAGGAAGGACAACACCTTTGGCTCCCTGGGATACACACTGCCTCTGGGGAGGAAGGACGGCACCTTCTGCTCCCTGGGGTACACACTGCCGCTGGGGAGGAAGGACGACACCTTCAGCTCCCTGGGATACACACTGCCGCTGGGGAGGAAGGACGGCACCTTCAGCTCCCTGGGACACACACTGCCGCTGGGGAGGAAGGACGACACCTTTGGCTCCCTGGGACTCACACTGCCGCTGGGGAGGAAGGACAACACCTTCTGCTCCCTGGGGTACACACTGCCGCTGGGGAGGAAGGACGACACCTTTGGCTCCCTGGGACTCCTTTTTGGCCAAATCTACTAGAGTTTGCAGGTATTCTCCTACTAGTTTCCTGGCGAGCTGCACGGCTCTCTCTGGGATGTTGGGTCCAAAGGTAGAAAGCACCTCATTAACCTCTCTGTCCAACTCCTCCTGAGTGTAGTCATACGCCATGCTTGCTCTGCTGAAGTTAGTTCTTTTGTAGATAGGGTCGCTGTACGGGTACTAGCGTTGCCCTCAATTTGTAAATCCACGAACTGTATCTCCGAGCTGCTTTACCTCGCACTAGGACGCCATCCCACCGCTGCCACCAATGTAACGGATCACCTGGCACCCCGACTGGGTACCTCCGTTGAAGGATGCTCCTAGCGCTTCCTGAGGACTCCAAGCACTGCAGCAGACACCACAATCACCGAACCAGAGAAACTTTTACCTTCTCTCAAGCATATGAATGCTGTTGACAATTGAATAGGAACCATACGAATAGGTTTACTCTCCTAGCAGTCAAACTGCAACAGCATACAATGAATCCTTCCCCCAATAATGAGATGACACTTCACTTTGAGGGTTAAAACAGGAACTCCCTGTACTGTCACATACAGTCTCTTTTATTCCCAATCCACAAACATAGTACAGCCCACAGGGCGTTATAAAACAGCCAATCAATCCATACAATACACCCAGACACTCCCACACAAAATCCATTATGCCCAAATCATGTCTTTAAAGGGCAATACATCCCAGGGGCCATAGTCACATGGCAGGAGGCTGGCAACCAGGCTTCTCCAGTGCATAGTGGCGAGGTTGGTTCCGCCACACCCACCAGGGCCTACTCACAACCAGGGCCCCGGTTACAGCCCCACCATTCCACCTGCCACGGGAGGATCTAGAGGGTTGCTGGATGGCCACACACTGCCGGGAAGGTGCTGCCCGCTTCCCTCAGCCACCGGCTTGCGATCCCATGCTGGAGGCCGGGGCAGGCCGCGGCAATAGTAAGCCGCACATCCTGCTTTGCAGTAGCAGGCCGTGTGTCAGGAGCCCCAGCCACACGGGCCTGGCGATGCCTCTGGCCCGGACTCCTACTCCTCAACTAGGCCCGAGATGCAGCATCCGGGGACAGCCATACCTGGTTTGAGGCAATCATATTGCTTGCAGAGTTGCCAGGCACCATCCAGCGCAGCAGCTCTGAGGGAAGCCAGGATAGCCTCAAACTCCATCCCTCAAGCAGATTGGCTACAGACCCAGGACAAACAGGAGGAAAGGAAGCTGTTTGCTAGTCCGAATCCCAAGTGGCACTGAGGTAAGACCACCCCCACCAAACTCACACACCACATAATCCCACCCACACATTCATACACAACCAATAACACATATCCATCCCCACACTCCTACATGTTCCCTTGTCCGCTTAGCTGTGCTATCTCCCCAGGGCCTTGTCAATGGACAGAGATGGGAACCGTTAGAGAGATATGGAATGAAGCTAAACAATATAAAATAATTACAGTCACGGTAAGACACAGCTCAGGGAGACAGTTTTTTATTTTATTTTTTTACAAGTTTTATGTGTCTTTCTTTCTGGTCCTTCCAGGTGGACGATGGCACAAAATGCTGGGATGACTGCAATGGGCCCTGTCTACCCTGTCCTCCAGATGTGGCAGAGACATTCAAAACAGACAACTATTGTGGGCTTATTGCCAAGAAAGACGGTCCCTTCAGCGCGTGCCATGCTCTTGTGAATCCCAGCAGATACATGGATAACTGCGTGTACGATGTGTGTGTAAATAATGGCGACAGGAAGCTTTTATGTCAGGCAATTAAGGACTATGTGAATGCCTGTCAACGGGCTGGGGCAAAAATCAATGACTGGAGACAGGCAGCCGGATGTCGTAAGTGCTTGCAACATAACCATACAGAATTAATTCCTGTTTTTTTTTTTATTTATATGGTTTAGTGAGTCTTCCAGCTGCAACTGGACCCCTGAGATTTGTATATCTATCTCTAAGTAAGGAGCAGGAATCATCTGCATGCATGTTAGCACATATCATTCCTACTCTTTTACTGAAACACGGTTAGGGTTATTCAATAAAGTCTGAATGGCCCTGTTCTGAATGGGGCAAAACCATCCAGTCCATTTGGACTGCAAAATTTGTTCACACTATTTAACAATGTGTCCTTTGTCCTCTCCTACCCCATGCATGGTCAATTTTATACTGAGGAGACCTGCTATTTTTATACTTGGTGACCTAGAATCTCACCCAGTCCTGACACACCGGCAGAAGGTAGGTGCTATAGCAATATAACGTGGTAACCTCACCCCAGCCCCCACCCATTAGCACCAAGGGGTTCTGGTTACCCCCACCCCAACCTTTACCTGTGGGCAGTGTGTGTGGGCTTTAAATAGCTATACAAGAGGGGAGGACATGCCATTGTCCAAACCCACTCAATTTGTGGAATGGTCTTCTCCACCCTCGGTGGCTAGGGGTACCAAAGATCCTAGCCACCCCCCTTAATTTAAGTTAACCCTTCCTACCACCCTCACCATAACAATAGTGAGGGGTTCATGAATCTAATTATACTTACCATCAGAGGTCTTCTTTCTTCTAACTCTTCTGTTCTTCTGCCTCAAAAAGGCCAAATTAAATTAATTACACAATTTCCACAGCAAGTGAGACTTGCCTGTCAGAGCGCTCTGATTGGTTGGTTTACAAGCCTTCCAATCAGAGTGATCCAATGAGAAAGCAAAGCATGGGGGCAGTGGCTGCCCAGTCATTAGTTTCAAACATGCAGTAGATTTGATCTGTCTGCTAGGACTGTCAGTGAGGACAGTACTTCAGATTATCAGTCAAAAAAGCAAGTGAATAGTAATGTGTGACTGTGTATCCTGCTAAATGCATTCTATTCAGAGTTCTAGTAAAACTTATATTTTGTGAATATCCAGAATTCTATAACGTATATGATTCCGATGAGAAAGCAAAGGTTTTAATCCGGACACCGATTTCTGTAGATTTGCTTGGCCAGACCGAATTCTGAATGTATAGCGATATAACGTGATAACCTAATTTCCTCACCACAGCCCCCACCCATTAGCACAAGGGGGTTCTGGTTACCCCAACCTTTACCTGTGGGCTTTAAATAGCATGGTCTTCTCCACCCTCGGTGGCTAGGGGTACCAAGGATCCTAGCCACCCCCCTTAATTAAAATTAACCATACCTAGTTTAGTAAATCTGGTGAAAGAGATGTTAATCATATTTACACTGTTTTTCTTGATTGTCCCAGCCTTAGACTGCCCTGTGAACAGCAGATATGTGCTCTGCGGGAGGGCATGTGCCCCAACGTGTCAAGATCCGACTGCATCCTCCCAATGTGCCCTGCTCTGTGTGGAGCAATGTCAATGTGATCCAGGTTTTCTTCTGATTGGAGGAAAGTGTTTATCAAAAGAAAATTGTGGTTGTTTCTTTAATGGGCGTTTATATGCTCCTAACCAGTCATTTTGGGGGGACATTATCTGTACCCAGTTGTGCATCTGCAATGCAAAAACCCTGCAAGTGACGTGCAGTAAAGCATCATGCAGATTTGGAGAAGTATGCATTGTGAGAGATGGACTCCGAAACTGCTATCCTTTATTGATAGGGTAGTGGATGCATGGAATAGCTTTCCAGCTGAAGTAGTAGAGGTTAACACAGTAAAGGAGTTTAAGCATGCGTGGGATAGGCATAAGGCTATCCTAACTATAAGATAAGGCTAGGGACTAATGAAAGTATTTAGAAAATTGGGCAGACTAGATGGGCCGAATGGTTCTTATCCGCCGTCACATTCTGTGTTTTTTTGTTTCTATCTTTGCATAAGTGAAGGAGTGTCCGTCCTTCTTTCACAGTGTCGCTGAGTTTATAACGGAGCTTAGTTTACGGAGCTTATTACTGTCAGATAATCTGTTTGTGAAGGATACAGTGGCTTGAAGAGTTGCTCCTGGGGTGATGGTGGCAATACGATGTGTGTAAAAAAACTAACAAAAAAAATAAAAATAAAATACCCTTATCTTCTCAGTGAGTATATTCTTTCATTCTTTGGTATTACACAAAAAAATATAAAATGTATCTTGCTTTTCTATTTCTATATAAAAGTTCTACAAAACATAAATATACATGGAAATATAAACTCAGCTTGATGTTACAAGGGAACAAGTTCAGGAACGATAGAAAGTAAAGCAGATGTGGCCAATAAAAGGGCACCAAAGACTCAGGTTAATATAAAGGATGAAAGGATGTGTGAGGAAGCCTGTCTTGTCTTGTGTAGTTAAACTTTACATACATACAATTCTTATTGGTTTAGAGCCAAAATCTAGAATTCCCAGACAGAGAGCCATGTGACTTATCGACACCATCTGTCCTATACTAACCCAGAGTGCCAAGTAATGTATGCCTTGAATGTCATATTCTGCAATTCCTTCTGTTTGTGGTTTGTCTTAAAACCATAACACATTGTCAGTGACCTATTGATTCACACATAATTCTTATCAGATTTGTATCTCTGTCTGAGTATAAAACAAGATACAGTCACACTTTTCTAATTTCAGAATTCTTAGACTGAGGAGCTAACTTTCTTTATGTCTCTTTTGCCAAAGTTGCCCTCTGTTTTAGTTTCTGTTAAATTCATGCAGGTATACATATTTGTCTAATTGTTACACTACATAACTATATGAAGAATAACGCATATAACATATATACAAATAACAATAAGAAATGGATACAAAGTAATTTTTACAACAAAAGAACTTTAAATTAATGACCATTGATGCTCTTCATCTTTTAATTAGCTTTATTCATTCAGAGATAAAATGTCTGCCTCATTAATTTCTTTCTTAATCTTATATAATAATGTTTTATCTTTCCTAATTTCATCCACCCACTTTTTCAGTGGAATTCCACTTGTTTGTGAAACATTAAATCCATTATTTGTTTTAAACTATTAAAAATATTTACTTGGGGACGACGCCTAACCTCCAATGTAGACGGATGGAGATCTCAGAGTCTCCGCAGACTGGGGTGCTATACTAACTAAAATAAGCACTGGACTTAAAGCGGACAAAACAGACCCTCATAAGCCCTGGAACACCTGCTCCCCGGCACAACATGGGTGGCGGCAAGAAATGCAAATCTGGATCGGCAGTGGCTCCAATCTTTTGCACCCGACAGACACGCCACGTGCGGAGGACCGCCAAGCCTCGGACTCAGATTCCAATGCCAGCAAGTCGGCTTCCCGACACCTCACCCCTCAACAGGGGAGACCTACTAAACCTGTCAGCCGACATCAAATCACACAGAACTGTCAAAACACTTGGCCTCCTTGCGGATCTGACTAGGAGAACACATGAGATAGAACACAAGATGGAACAGGTGGTTACCACCTACTATGAACATGAGGCCACGCTGCAAGAATTAAAAGAGCAACTCACCTTACTCGAAGAAGCTGTCAGGTTACCTTGTGTATCAGTCAAGGGCATGTTACAGGCAGGCGTCACATTGCAGGGTATTGGGGACACTCCTACCAACTCTCAGCTTGTCCCCAGCGATTCTCACGCCAGCCACAATAACCCTGCCTCCTTTTATGACGCGGCTAATGAGCACCTACGTAATGCCGCAGCCTTCAAAGCTGTTCAAACAAGTAAATTTTGGGGGCGTAGTTACTTACCTAATTGAACAAAGTATTTAAAGAGAAACCAGGGAGAGACTCATTGCCCTGCTGTGGTTCTTGTTTGACCCAAGAGCGCGTATTCCGTATTGCTATTCTTGTATTCTGACTTTGGCTTTGTTTGACAATTCCTCCTTCTGTGTTCCTTTGACCTCGGCTATTGCATTATCATTGATCCTCATTTCTGGTACCCCGACCTCTGCTCGCTATTTGACTATTCTTTGTGTGTGTAGTGTTAGTCTGGCTATCCTAAGGTCCAGTATCATTACTAGTATTTGCATTCTGCGTGTAGGATCCCTAAACGTTCCTGACATTAGAACAGGACCATATGGATCCGGCAGGTGTAAATACTCAGGAAGGTCCATACAACAACCGTTTGCACAAAATGGATCACTGGTTAGTGCTTTCTGAACCTTAATTAACAGGTCTAATCCCGTACCAGATGAAAGCAGTGCTCCCTCCGTGACTCCTCAATATGGGGGACTGAAAGTAGCTACTGTAGGGGCCTTGTCCCATGTCAAACCACCCCTACGCTATTGTGGAGCACCTGAAACTTGCCAGGGTTTTTTTTAAACCAAATAAGCATTCACGTCGAGATCCAGCTACGATCCTATCCTACCGATAGAGCCAAGGTAGGATTTATTATCACGCTTTTGGTAGATAGAGCTTTGACATGGGCAAAAAATAACCCTCTGGTGTATAATTGTGTTGCTTTCATTTAGACGTACTTTTGGCCCTCCAGGTAGGAAGGCCAATGCAGCCAGGTCTCTGCTCAGACTTAAGCAAGGAACCAGAATCTTGGTAGCTTATGCTCTAGAATTCCGGTGTCTAGCATCGGAAATCGCTTGGAACAACCAGGCATTTGTTGATGTGTTTTTTAACGGTCTCTCTGATGTCATATTAGATGAAATAGCTACTAGAGATATTCCAGAGAACCTGAGGAAATGATAACATACATATCACTCATAGACGAACGCCGGAGATACAGACAGAATACTAGAGATAGACTTAGAAGAAATTCTATTCGTATGGCACCTGGATTTAATAATCCTAATTCTATGACACTTGCTTTAGAAGAACCTATGCAAGTAGGTGTAACTAGAATAAGTGAAGCAGATAGACAATACAGAAGAAGGGAAAGCCTGTGTCTTTATTGTGGACAAAGGGGTCATCTTCGCCTTAATTGCCCTAATAGGGCGGAAAACTCTCACACTCCACGAGGGAGACAGGTCTTGGGTGATTCTTTTGTGTCCTCTACTAATGCTCATAAGGAGCACCGACTTCTAGCTCACATTGTCTTAACTTGGAACAATAAGAGGGTTTATACCTTGGCATTAATATACTCTGGTGCAGCTGAAAACTTTATGGACCAGGATTTTGCTAAAGCTAACTCTACCTTTTAGGTTAAGAAATACGCCATTAGCCGTTGAAGCCATAGACGGTCGGCCTCCAGGTAACCATGATCACGCAAGAATATATTACAGTTATCCTAATAGTTGGTGTGTTGCATAAGGAGGTCTGTGTATTCCAACATATTACTTCTCCTACCTGCCCAGTAGTACTAAGATACCTCTGGCACAGGCCACCATGGCTTCTGACATTTGCGAATACTACACATTGAATGAACACTCAGTCAACTCCCCTACCACCATGTGGGCAGCACATAAAACGGTAATCCGAGGCAAATTAATAGCCATAGCCTCTGCACGTAAAAAACAACAACTACAACTCCTCACTGACTCCATGACTGAACTCAAAAGATTAGAATACCTACACAAGAGAACACCTATCCCGACTCTCTACACATACATTTCTACTGTCCACAACACACTTAAACAATTATCCCTACAGGACACAGCAGAGGCACTAATGACTAATGTGGACTAGACAGAAAAGGGCAACAAGGCAGACATAATGCTAGACCGCAAACTTAAGACCACACTAGAATTCAAAAAAATACATGAAACCCACTGACTCTATACACAACTTAATGAAAAACATATTTCACAACCTACACTTCCCAACCCTATCAACAGCGGCAATATCAGCGTTGTCAGCTGAAGCAGCAGACAAGGAATTAGCAACAGCCTTGGGCTCCATCCAGCCCAAAGCTGGCCCCCGATGGCTTCATGGCCTTCTACTACAAAACATTCAGTGAGCTCCTAATCCTTAAACTGACTAAAGTCCTCAACACACTCTTACAAGGAGAACTACTGCCACCAGATATGGTTAGCGCTAACATAAACGTTATCTCCAAGCCCGGCAAGAGACCCAAAGATTTCCGACTGATTTCGCTACTGAACATTGACTTGAAACTAATGTCCAAGGTAATCACAATGAGTTTTAATGAGATTAAAACCACATATGGAAAAACTCATCCACCCCGACTAGGTAGGATTCATACTCAATAGGCAAGCGTCGGACAATACCAGACGTAATATAGACCTGATCTAGTATGCCAACAGACGATGCACAGCATTGGCCGTGGTTTCCCTAGATGCCGAGAAGGCATTAGATCAACTTCCATGGCCCTATTTCTTTGAAAAGCTAACTCAATTCGGCTTACCATCCGAATTCCTTTACTTCTTAAAAGCATCAATATACTCTTACTCCCGAACAGGGCGCCACCAGAAATTTTGGGGCCCCTGACAAAACACAAGGTCTGGAGTGGTGTGTGTGCCACGCGGAGCGTGGTAACCCATGGCAACGCTCTAACGGCCGTATGTCTCGCGGGAGTTAGAGCGAGGGAAATGCTGTAAAGTACAGCTGCATTCCGCTGGGCCCCCTCTGCAAGTATAGGGAGCTGGGGGCCCACGGCTGCACCTATATATAGCGATCATCATTATATATAGGTGCAGAGAGTAATTGTGGGGCCCTGGACTGCCAAATCAGTCCAGGCCCCCTAGGACCGCCGGGCCCATGACAACTGTTATGGTTGTCACCCCCTGATGGCGGCCCTGCTCCCGAATATCCATTCCCTGTCCTTTCCAATCCTCAACGGCACGCAACAAGGATGTTATTCTCACTCTTGTTCACCCTTTCACTGGAACCATTCTTACAAGCACTATGACTAAATCGGCAGATTGTGGGCCTGACAATACAAGGAGAGGAATATAAGGTTACGGCCTATGCCGACTACATGCTCCTTACACTAACAACACCCGAAGCATCACTCAGAACCTTCCTTGATGTCAGTCACACTTATGCATAAATTTCGGGGTACCAACTCAACACCTCCTAATCTGAGCTACTCCCAATCAATCCTCTCACCCCTCCCTCCCCCCAAGACCTTACCTCACTGCAAACCGCAATCCCACTGAAAATCTGTCGCACAGAACTTACATACCTAGGCATCCAAATTACGAACAATTTTTCCACCTTCTACGTGGCGAACTTCGCAACCCTCTTTCGCAAAGCCCATGAAGACCTAAACCAATAGAAACTACTTAGCATTTCCTAGATAGGAAGGGTAACATTAATAAAAATTAACCTACTCCCCTGTCTCTTTATATGTTTCAAGCCCTCCCAATCCCATGCAAACCATCAGACACCCAACGCTTCAAACTGCACTCGACACCTTCATATGGAATGATTGCAAACCAAGAGCACGCAGGGCCACCCTATATATCCCCAAAATATCAGACGGTCTGGGACTCTCTAACCTCACACACTACCAACAATCATCCCACCTAACACAAATACAACATTGGCATGTCCCTCTGGGAAAAAAGAGATGGGTAGATCTAGAACACACCATCTATGGCTATGATCATCCCTCTCTATACATATGGCTCTGGAGACAGCACAGACATTTATCCCCCTGACATGCCCAGCCATTACATACTCTATAGACCTGTGGGACAAGCTCTGAGACAAATTTGACCTCTCGACCGGACTATTGCCACTCACCTCCATTCTACATAACAAACTTATCCCCCAGGCCTCACACCCAAACACTAGGAACAATTAACAAAACAGATATATCATTTGGCTAGGCCACCTGTACCCAGCTGGCAAATCTATAGAATACACTGACCTACCAGAAGCCAAAACACTGACAACATTCGATCAATTTCGCTTTATGCAACTGAAAAGCTTTGCCTGCGCCTCAGCGATCCGACAAGCAGCCACATCAGTCATGACACCCTTTGAACGACAATGCTATAGAGCACCCGCAAGAAAAGGACAAATATCCGATATTTACATGTCCCTGGCTACACACCACACACAAAACTTGCTGCCCTTCATTAAAGCCTGGGAGTGAGACCTAGGCCCTCCCGATGATTCTATT